CCCATTATCAAATGACAGCACATGTCTATGGTTAGGAAACCTTAACCATATTTGATCAACGAGCTAGTCTAGTAGAGGTTTACTAGGGACACGGTATTTGTTTATGTATTTACACATGTGTTTTAGTTTCCAATCAATATAATTCTAGCATGAATAATAAACCTTTATCATGAACAAGGAAATATAAAATAACAAGTTTATTATTGCCTCTAGGGCATATTTCCTTCAATAAATTCACCCAAAGACACACATGTGATTTTTCAATAAACTTTGGTGCACTGGAGCATGTACTTGTAGTTCAAATTTGAATTATGCGCATTAAATACCTAGAAACTCAATTAATGCATAAAAATGCCAAACGAACCCGGAATAATTCCAAATTTTAACACGACACTCATGTAGTTGCATGTTCATTGTAGATGAATGTTATAGCAATTCAAACACCATCCTTTCCCTCTGTAACACCATTTTGTCTTTCAAAACATAATAAAAAATCAGGTATACCACAAACAATTTACTAGCAAGAATCGTGTGGGATGTGATATAAAATATCTTGGCGCATCGTCTTGTGTGGCTTACGCAGGAAGCTTCGTCATCTACAGTCCACCGCTTGCGCTTGACCAATTGCGCGCCAGTTTCTTGCGGCACCGAGCGAAATTTTTCTGCCACCGCGGAAATATTTATCTCCCCGCCCCCTCCCTCTCACCAAAAGCCACATTTCCACTGTTCCTCCTTGCTTTCCAAGTTCAAACCTTCACTGCTGCTTTTACTGGCATCTTTGCCTCCTCGCCGGCGACCCTTCTTCTTGCAGTGCCGCCTCCTCACCGGCGACCCTTCTTCTTGCAGCGCCGCCTCCTTGCCGGCAACCCTTCTTCTTGCAGCGCCGCCTCCTCGCCGCCGACCCTTCTTCTTACTGTGCGGCCTCCTCACCGACGACCCTTCTTCTTGCTGTGCGACCTCATCGATATGGTCAGGTAATCCACACCCCACCCACACCATCCTCCTCCTTCCCCGTCCCACATGCCCCGACTGACGGCACGACACCTTCCATCGAAATCACTGGCCCGTCCTCCAATTAAGCGCCTCCCACAGCCATTTTGCACGCAGTATAACATGGAGCTCAATAGCATATGGCAGCAGAGAAGCAAATCGCGCTCGCACGCACGGATGAGGTCGCTATGGCTGCCATGCGTGCCGACTGCCAGATCTTGGAGGAGCACCTCGTCTTCGAGGCCACCGTGGACACCACCATGCGGTTGTCTACTTTAAAGTACAGCTCATGCTGTTTTCTTGAGGCCACCGCCAGTGCCTTCTAGTGGTTTGCCCTCTGTAATGTTAATATGCAATCTGATATTCTGAAATGTAATGTTCAGTTAACAGTTTGGTCCAACAATTGCTACATTTCGTATTACTGTTCTCAAGCATTCTTTGTTTCGTTAACTTTCTTATCTTCTAATACATATTTCTATTCTGCAATGTCGTGCTCAGTTAAATGTTTTGGTTCATTTGGTCTACTGTCCATTTAACTGTTTGGTTCAATTCAGCAATTTGATTTTCATTTGTTGTTGGTAATTTTTTTTATTGTTATGCATGTGAGAAATAAATTGAATTTGTCTATGCTCAATACATATTTTACTGATAGTATGGCAACTCTCAGTTAACCTGATCAGGATCTTCCTTATATGGGTTGCAGGGAAACAATGGGAGACACTACAGTTTACCATCGAGGTTTGCTCATGCATGGTCCTTTTGCTAATAGCATATTATTGTGCAGTTGCAGGAATCATTCTAATATTTAGGTTTCTTACAATTTGGTCTTGCACATGTAGGTCCTGCTGTCAAAGGCTTAGACCCACTATTCGACCCATTTTGCATATGGGGAAATGAGATGTCCATGAATATTAGTCAAGTCAAGAAACTCAGAAAGATTTTTAGGATGAAGAAACTTGCGACGAATAATAGCAAGATCTTTGTTTGCACAATGAAGAAGACATCAGTCAACTATAGGATGACACTAACTCTTTTACCTTGTTTTTACCCCTTGCGCCGTTTCAAAATTTATAAAAGCGAGTATGCATTCTTTGTTTTCAGTACTTTTCAAATCAGTTCACCGATGATTACCTCTCAAACCACCTGCATGGTCAAGAGGGGAGGAAGGTATTCATTCAACACCCACGATACAATATTGAAGTCTTCATGAAGAGGACGAAGGTTGGGCTGGCAATTATCCATAGCCACTGGCCTAAAGTTGCAAGGACATTCAACATCACTGATGGCTCAATATTTGCCTTCCGCTTCTGCAGTTTCCTAGATGAGATTCATTTGTCTATTTACCGTGTATGATGCTACTTTCCAAAGGTTTTTGATGTTGCATGTGAAACTTGGTGCTGTTGTGTAATGCCATAGCTAGGTATATCCCTCTTTAGTGTAACCGAGTGCTGAAGCTATCTGATGTAATTCGATTATGAAATCCTGGTTGCCGTTATACAGATATGAAATATCTGGTGTTTTTATAAGAAATGTCAATTTGATTACTACATGGATTATCAATAATAGGGTAATTACCCTGCTTATTGGGGTTTTTCTATTGCAGACGGTTACTCAGACAACACCATGGGCGATGAACTCAAACAACCCACATGGCTTCTAGAAAGTAGTCGTGTTGGATCAACTAACAATCACACACGGCTTTCGGCAGGGAACTATTTGCGTTAGGCCACCTTGTACAAACATTTCCACACACAAAGCTGTGTGTGATATACATACGAATGGAAATGTTTTTTTGGGATTCAACATGTGGGATGTACGTATGAATGGAAATGATTGGGTTTCGATGCCTCGCCCGATCACACACGAGCTCATTTTTCCCCCGCCTGTGTGGCCGGAGGGCCTATCCCCGACAGTTTCTGAGTCATGTGGGAAGGACCCCCCTATCGCACACACTCACTAGGCGAAGGTTTAAAACTCCGTCGTGGAAAGGGGGTAAAAACCATTTGTATAGCACGTCTCTGCACCAGTGCATAGACATGTGTTGTCACTTGATAACAGGATCGCATCATTAGGAGAATGATGTGATGGACAAGACCCATCCATTAGCTTAGCATATGATCGTTCAGTTTATTGCTATTGCTTTCTTATTGTCGAATACATATTCCTTTAATTATGAGATCATGCAACTCTCGGATACCGAAGGAATACCTTGTGTGCTATCAAACGTCACAACGTAACTGGGTGATTATAAAGATGCTCTACAAGTATCTCCGAAGGTGTTTATTGAGTTGGCATAGATCGAGATTAGGATTTGTCACTCTATGTATCGGAGAGGTATCTCCGGGCCCTCTCGGTAATACACATCACAAGAAGCTTGAGCTTGCAAGCAAAATAACTAAGGAGTTAGTTACGAGATGATGTATTACGGAACGAGTAATGAGACTTATCGGTAACGGGATTGAACTAGGTATGAAGATACCGACGATCGAATCTCAAGCAAATAACACACCGATAGACAAAGGGAATTATGTATGTTGTCATAAGGTTCGACCAATAAAGATCTTCGTAGAATATATAGGAACCAATATGGGCATCCGGGTTCCGCTATTGGTTATTCACCGGAGAGGTGTCTCGATCATGTCCACATAGTTCTCAAACCCGTAGGGTCCGCACGCTTAATGTTCGTTGACGATAATGTTATATGAGTTATGTGATTTGGTGACCGAATATTGTTCGAAGTCCAGATGAGATCACGGACATGACGAGGAGCTTCGGAATGGTCCGGAAGTAAATATTGATATATAGAACGATGCTATTTGGACACCGGAAATGTTTCAGGTTGTACCGGATAACCATAGGATCACCGGAAGGGGTTCCGGGAGGCCCCGTGAGGTCTATGGGCCTAATGGGCCAAGGGGAGGCACACACCAGCTCACAAGGGGGCTGGGGCGCCCTCTCCCTGGCCGTCGGCGCTAGGGGAAGGAAAGGGGAGGGTTGGCCCCGCTTACCTTTCCCTCCTCA